TTCTTTGATGAATTGAAAGTTCAAAAGAACAGCATTTATTTGAAACAGAAAACTTTTCTAACATTACAAACTAATGTTTGATCAAATTAATGTTTGCTTGCTGAATAAATGTTCTTTACAAAAAAATATCTTACAGACCCTTAAGCTTTTGAATAGTAGTGTGTATATGTATAGACTCAAAAATAAATCAAAGAAAGAAATCAGCAAAAGAAAGAAAGAAAGAAATCTTCCAAAGAAATCGGTACTTTAGATGCTTCAAGTCAATTGTGTAAAGTGAGTTAATTGTGCAGTCTTCACCCTGCGAGCATAATAAAATCTCATTATGCTTTTAACTGCAAAATATTTGTCTTACCAGGAGGCTATCAAACTTCTTTGCCTCTGTGATGTGAATCCAGTTGTCTTTCTCAATAACTTTAATATGCTTCACTTCATCATTAAACCTGTTAAAAGGTGCATAGCAATGGTGATTGACAAAATACTAAAAGACAGACAGACAGAATGTTCTATTCTTGACATGAATACATGCCTTCCCTGTAACACTCACTTGATGCTGATTGCGAATCTCTCGGCCTCCGCCGTCCTCTCTCGGATCAGATAGGTGCCGCTGCTGTGAGACTTAAGCAGGTTGTCGGCCTGCTGTCGCTCCATGTTTCCTGCAAACCTGAAGCCCACAGGGAAAACACACCTCATTCATGAGACCGTTCAATACCCTGTACATCATTATAGCAACTCTCACAGAGGTCGTTACCTCATTAAAAGACAATAAAGGCTCAACATGCATCACAATTAGACTAAAGCTAATCAATCATCATCATTGATTCTACTTATGACACATGTAATTCCATGCAAATTTCACTAGGTAAAATGACAGTAGTATAGTTAATTGTATTATTAACATATAATATGAGACTGTGAACAGTGTATTATAAACAACCAAAATCTTGTAGTATCTTGGTAATGTAAAGGGTTAGAATGGAAAAATCAATGTGTTCTATAACAGGATGAAATACCAGGGATAAACGTTGTAATCTGTCTCTCTGGAGGACTGACGGCTAGAAAAAGACTGGAAAGGCTGTAGAGAAGAAAACCATCAAAAAATGATTTGAGACAACAAGGGCTGGTTTAATATCTAATAGTTAAGAACACAGCCTAATATTTTAGTAAGCATATATTTGGGAGAAAGAAAATAAATATTAGGAATAATTTTAAAAAAAAGATTTGAATTTACTTTTATGAACCTGTACCTTTGGGTCTAGACATGGTTTCACACTGGAACTGGGGAAGAAGCCAGTC